TAGATCCAAATTACTTCCCAATATTTTCCAAAACAATAAAAAACATTAGAAAACCTATTATAAATAAACTTATTATTATTTTATTTATAATTATTTTTAAGTTAAAGTGGTCAAGCCAGTTGACCACCCTAAACGGCCATGGCCAGTGGCCGATTCTAATTAACCTGGCCAGTTCGAGTTCAACCCGAAGGCTTCTCCAAGAAGCAAACCCGACATGGTACAAGTGCTTAATAAAATACTCGAAGTTATCTTCAAAACATAACAATTTCATCACATTATAAAAGCTTCAAAACCATTGCCAAAATTAGAGGACAGATACGGCATAACATTTTATCATTAAAAAAAAAACAAAAACAAAAAAAAAAACAAGGGGTACGGCATAAAATTTCCATCGGAAATACGAGAAAAGGTCAGGGAAAAAGTTTATATAGAGCCGAGGCTCTAAACAATCAAATTGGAGCCTATCACAAAAATTTCATTAGAAGAGGTTGTTTTGATGTCCAAATATTCTCAAACTGATACATCAAGATGCATGGACATGGGAAAAAATAGGTTTCAAGTTCTGAAAATAGTATATTTCGTAACGCATTTTTGGACCATCAATTTTCAATATTATCAAGTTTTCATAGATCTATCGATCTACACCATTTTAAAGCTTTAAACTTTATAAATAATGGTGAAAATATATTCCAAGGCTATCACAAAGATTCCTAGTATTGAAACCACAATCTCGACACCATTTGAAGATAGGCTCTAATTTGATTGTTTAGTGCCTAGGCTCTATACAAACCCTACCCCAGAAAGAAATGTAAACGTTCGTGACGCGAATATACAGACGAATCGATAAAAATTTCGTTAGGATATTCGTTAAGGAGATGGGCCCTGCCCAAAGCGGCATAGCCCGTGGACAACGGGCTTTTCTACTGCCAAAGACAGTAATACGGCAAAAATCACTTTTCTTGATATACGCAAGTTTGGTAGATGCAAAGGAAAGTTGAAAAAAAAAAAAAAAAAAGGGCGAAATCCGAAAAAGTTGTGTGCCTCATCAGATTTAAACGTCAGGCGCAGTTTGTCTGACTTTTTGTTTTGGAAAATGACAATCCACACGAATACTGTGTTTCCTGAGTAACAGGGACAGGAGGGCAAGAGAGAGAAAGGACGAGGAAGAAGGAAAGGCGATCTCATGAAAATTGCAGGATATTTGTAGTTGAGATCGGGGTTTTAAAAGCCAGCCCGATGGCATCAAATTTTGTTTAGAGAGATTTGCTTGTATATTCTATTAAAAGTGATTGAAAAATCAGCCCAATAATTTCTACTCGGGCTCTTGCCAAGCCTGAGATGTCTTTCCAACTCCGGGATATTAAACAAATTTCAAAAGAATAATAAAAATTTTTAAAAACTAAGTTGATTATTTCACAAATGCCCCTCGTTGC